AAGATGGTTGCATTTCTGTTAAAGTACAACTACAACTACATAAGCATACACATATAGCTAATTATATAAGCCTATATAACTTTTTTAGAATTTGCTGTGTTCTTTGGTAATAGCTATTCTTTTTTATGACCTTCCTATTCAAAATCCAAACTCCACATTATCTTAGTGCTTACCCACACAATATTTTAACTTTGATTAGGGTTAATTCTGGCTAAATTTTGAATAAATTTGTGCTGTTTGGCTGTATTTGGCTAACTTGTCTTGGTTTGATTGTTGCTTTGATAGGAGACCACCAGGGAAAGCCAGGTTTGTAGATTAGGTTTGGAAAACAAAAAACTCTTTGTTGGGATATATCCCAAACTCTACTAAATATGCAGAGTTTCCCAATTATCTGGGAATATCCCTTATTAGTTGCGCTGATCCTGGTGCTTCAGCTGAGCCCAGAAGAAGTGCTGATCAGCTGGAATGTTGCAGCATCTCCAGGGTCTTGTGATTTACATTCAGATTCTTGGCAACTGATTCATATTTATGACGGTCACAGTGTCCCAGGGTCATGTGAAGTGACCAAAACCTGCTGCAACCACCCAGCAGGCAGACGGAATAAAAACCAAACACCCCACCCCACCCCACTGCCAATCCTCAACAGAAATGCTCACAACAATGAAAACCTCAGACAGGAGGAAGAGCGCTGCCGGGTGGGCAGGCAGGTGTCTTGCTTGGCTGTGGCTTGGGGACACTTTTTTCAGTGCCATTGTAACTTCGAACAGTCACTAAGTGAACTGTTGTAAGTCAAGGACTATCTGTACTTTTATCATTTTTTTCCTTTTTTTGACACCTTGCTAGACGACTGGTGGTACTTGGATATTGCCATATCGTAAAAGTGGTACAAAGAGTGAAAAGGTTGAAAAGCCCTGATCTATATAAGCAATGGTAAACCTGAAAAACCTTAGCCAAGAAAACCGCAGGGATATATTCAGGCAGTCTCTGAGAATTGGACACAATGAACAGAAAAAAAAAAAGTAGAATCCTTCTTAACTGTAAGGAAGACATATGTCTTGTTTGCTAGGGTCATAAAATATACAATAATTTTCTTATGATGTCATATAATTTTAATTTGTACTTGAAGAGGACAAACAATTAATTAAGGAACATATTTGACAAAATCACAGCATATTCACTAGTTAGATATTGTAAGTGGCGTTGCTGCTTCTGCTTCCTCAGCAACATAGAGGAATATCTCATTTTCTTTGTTCTGCGTGAAACACACTCTCCCTTTCTCTGTCTCTCTCTTTCTCTCTCATGTGACACACACTCATGGTCACATGCAAATAGAAATTGGAAATGGTTACTGTAATAATATACAATAAAGTATATAAACCTTAAAATTAACATAGAACTTTCTAATTTTAGCATTGCTTATTTTAAATACTCCCTGCATAATGTTTGAGATTTGTATGAAATCCTACACTCCTTTTGTTTATATTCTGATGCAATATCTTTTGTTCATGTCAGAGGGGCTTGCTCTGAGAGACGAGGTAGTCGTGTTCTCTATTATTCTGCTCCTGTTTCAATAAGTGTTTTAAAGAGAATATTTGTTGTGCACTGCTCTTTGACATCTTGTAATTTTAACTCAAAAGACCTTTTCAACCAAGCTCCTAGCACAGCTTTGCTTATTGCATTCATTTTCAATCAGATTTTCCCCCCAGGGGATTAACTAAATCTCTCTAAAGATACCTATCACTGTAGGTATATGCCTACATGCAGGATGGGGGAAGGGACAGAGAAAGTGAGTACAGAAGAATGCTAGTAAAATTTATCTTTAAAGGAACATAGTAAACTTGAAAATCTCATTTCTCTTTAGAATGCATGCATCTGATATTACTAAAGGCTGGTTGACATTTTATGCATTTTATGCTTAAATTATAAGTATCCAGGCAATAGGAACTGCAGAGATTTGTACAAGGAATAACCACACCACAGTGGTTAGATTTACTTGATACTGTCCCACAATGTAAGCCAAAACAAGACCTAACATGCAACAGGAAATTATTGGAGAAAATTCTGACTGAATTAGCATGAAATCATTTGGTTTTATTGTTTTGTTAATGGTTTGTTGTTAATCTTTTGCATGTTCACAAACATCCCTTTGAAATTTGTAGCTTCAGGGTCAAATTGCATGTTATGTTAAGCATATGATTTAAAAGCTTTCTTGCAACCGGTCATTCTTTTTTAGCTCTCCAGTCCTCCAAACCTGATCTAGAATTACAGTGAAATGTACGGTGAGACATGCTCATTCTGCTTTCACACTGAGCATTTCCTACAAGGCAAGAGTTTGTCCTGGACACTACTATTTGCAGCCAAGAACTGGATCCAAGGGAAATCACGTGTTTTAGCGTTAGAACAAGTTTTTTTCAGGGGGAAATGGCCATGAAAGAAAGAAAGAAAGGGATAATTTTGAATTGCATGCCATTTTATTTTTTTAAAAATAATTTTAGAAGGCATGCTGATTATGGCAACTTTCTTTAGATGATAATGTACAATATTTTACTTGTGTTGTAAATCAATCTGTCTGCACTTGGATCTCTATTTTCCTGCTGACTTGACTGAGCAGGGTCCATACCTACATACTGCAGTTGAAGAAACCTAACAGAAAAGCTAGCATAGTAGACTTTGTATTTACAACAGAGCACATGAACATCTCAACAGCATTAATTAAATGTGCATAACATATATGGTGGGCACAAAAACACATTTTCATTTAGTTGAGCATTCTCCTTGCAAAAAGAACAACGGAACACATAAACATGCACACAATCAACCCTCTGAACTTTAATTTTCCCATTAAAAAGCTTAAACATTCACACATACAATCACACACATAATGATATACCTACAAGCAATCATACTGAAAAATCAGTTTTAATCAGTTTTTATGTTTAGGATCTGCCATCCAGAATAATTTTAAATGAAAGTGCATTAGATTGTTGATCTCTAAGCATGTGCTTGAACAACTGCAGCTGCTTCCTCACCCATAACCTGTCATCCCCTGTTCGATATGTAGTCAATACCAGTTAGAGATAAAAATGCTGGGGAGAAACCATGCCAGCAAGCCAATCTTGAGTGACTTGAGACCCTTGAAACTCCTAAAAGAGAGCCACTCAAATGCTCTATTTTATGTTAAACTCCATTCAAATCTCATATGTTTTGTTTAAAGGTCAGGACTAAACCGTCAGAATATGGTGTTCAGTTTTGAACTAAGCAGGACTTCTAAGCTCAAACATGTTGAACTTGGAATGTTTTGCACATCCCCGGTCTTTAAGCTCATTTATAAGCAATCAGTAAGACTTTTACTTACGTGGTTTGTTTCAATGACTTGTTCACATTCCACAGAGGTGACATCCTGCTCTTGCAATGTGGCGTGTGTTTACATAGTACTGTCAGAAGTAGGTACAATTTCAGATATTTAAGTTTCCTTGATTTCTAACCTGTAACAGTGTAACTAAACCACCTCTGGTCCTACATCAGGATCTACCAATTAATAAGGACTAATACAGCACTCATTTCAGGCAGGATTGCCTTGGATTTTGTAGCATGGATTCATTTTAACTTGTCTTTCAGAATACTCCTGTATAATTTTGTATAATTTAATTTTGTATAATTTGTACAAAATTAAAATTTTCTTCTAGTTAACCTTTCTAAATTGGGGAAAGAATTATCTTCAAGTCAATATAGATTAAGCTTGGCCTTAAATCCACACTGAAAGAAAGCATAGAGAAAAAGAAAGGCTATGCCAAACTGGTGCTTTTTCTTGAAATTCCCCTATCAGATTCTGAGAAATATGGTATAAGGTGGCACTTTTGCAGTGAAGAGAGCTTGATCTGCTCTCAGATATGCTTACATGATCCACCATAGAAAATCAATAGTATTCTGGTTACTTAACCATCAATAAGATGTAGTATTTAAGGTGTTGACCTAGGACTAATATCTATCCTTAATGCTGAAAACCCACTACATAATTTTGGAACAATCATGCTCTCTCAATTCAACTAGCCCCACAATACTGTTGTAGAGAAAAAATGAAGGAGTGTTATACACACTAATAGCCAGAAGGGTAGTTACTGTAGTATCTACAATGTCATCCATATAACCATACACATCATATTATAGATTTGAACCTTCCCATGGATCCATGTGTGCCAGCTATTGCTCCTGGAGGAAAGATAGGATATCAATCAAATAAATAATTAAATAGGACCAATAGGTTGTGTCTACTGAATCACTGTATACTGTACAAATTGTAACCAGGGGATACTTTGGAAATCCTTGTGGCTTTAAGGGAGTAGAGGTTCTTGCCAGTGGTGGGATTCAGCTGGTTTGCACCACTTTGGCAGAACCGGTAGCTAATTTGTTGTTGCCCAGGCCCAGAATGGACTTCCGGAAGCGGCATCCACACAGAGAACCAGATGTTCACATACCGTAAATGCCGGCGTATAAGACGACTTCTGCGAGCGCTGAAATCGGCGCCAAAGACGGGGGTCGTCTTATACGCCGAGTCGTCTTATACGCCGGAAATACTGGTAGTTTCTGGCGTATAAGATGACGTTCTAGGAATGTGGCCCGGCTATAAAGACGGGGGTCGTCTTATACGCCGGGTCGCCTAATACGGCGGTATATACGGTATTTGAATCCCATCACTGGTTCTTGCTCATATAGTCCTACAGTTTCCCTCCTAGGATATCCTGAGATAGGCTTTGCTCTTCTCAATTATTTCCAATTTGAGAGTCAAATAAATAAATGTTTACATTATTTTTAATTCTTCATTCACATTACAGACTGCCAAATATTGCTACTGAGTCATACACTTGCACAGAGCTTTTGTTTGGGTATTGGTATTGGATAGTGGCAGTCCATTTTTTTTCTCTTATTTGAAATTCTGGCCACGGATAATAATAAAAAATTTTCAGTATTTTAAAGTTGTTGTTTTTTTCTTCTCTTTCCAGATCAACTTCAGAAGTCTATGCTGTGCACATAACTGGAAGTATATTTGTGCAGGTCCACCCAGTCAGAAGACTACAATTCTTTTTTCTGGGCAAGACTACTCTTTTGAAAGTCCTATGGCATTTTCCTGAAATAGTTGGTCATGTGTATATTGGCCATGCTTAAATTGGGACTATTATATCACTCCACTATGGAGTGACAATAGAGAACGGAATCCTTTGGGATTTCATAGTTTCTTTATGAGAGGTCAATTGACTGAGGTCTTGAATGCTGCTTGGCACATATTCTAACAAGTCTAGAGCACTCCTCTTTTACTTAATGTGGGTGGAGCTCAAATGATCTCAGCAGTGAGATCAGTGATTCAGTCAGGAAATAATCCTTCCTAGGTTTCCTTCCAAAGCAAAATCCTTCTGTGCTGGGAACAAACCATTACTTGTTTTACAGTCACACTCATGTCCTAGGCAGCATCAGTAAACCTCTCCACAATTTGGCTTTAGATTTTTCCAGATTTTTCTGTGTCCAGTAAATACATTCTTTCTGCATAGCTCTACTGCTGGATCTTCCTACTCACTGTTAACCACAAACCACTCATGAAACTCATAAAATTATCTCTCCTCTCTGTTTCATTTTTTTCTTCTCATTATAAATCTCTCAAAGGCATTTAAAAGTCCACAAAGTGTTAATGTAATGAATTGTGCTCTGTTTCAAAAGCAAGTGCATATACATGATTCTTCCTCTGTATTAAAAAAAAATAATACCCACAAATTTATTCAGTATCAAATACTTTCTCCGAAGATATGAATATGGTACCTGAGAATGTGTATTTGTGTGTGCGTGTGTATGTGTGTGTTTAGTTTGTTTGGGAAATAGCAGTGCAAGCATTCTGTTGTGAAATGTTTGTGTCAAGAGTTTAAATAAAAACAAAGTTACTCACATCTGTAATTAAGAAAGAAAAGCATATGTTATTTAGAAACCTGTATTTTGCACAATAAGAAATGGAATTAGGTATCAGATGATTTCCAAAGAGGCTCAAGGTTCCTATACAGAAACAACCAGAAAATCTCTTTACTGTCACTGAGTCAAGGAGAAAGAGCATCTCTTCCCCACATGTACATGTACAAAGGTAAAGATGCAATTTACTTTGCACTTCTACAACAATGCCAGGATAGGAAGGAGACACATAATTTAGATCAGGAAGGCTAAAACAGGATGGAACTGCATAAGACAGGATGTCTCTAAGATACATCACAAAGCTGTTTAGAGCCGTTGAGAGCATGACTGTGCCTGGGAAGGTAACACATGGTAATGATGGGATATTGTCTTTACACATTTACTCTCCCTTTAAATTGTAGCAGAAATATAGATAGAAGAAAACAGAGGCTGGGACAACTAATGTAAGTTCTACACATGCTTCTGTGTGATTCCAAGTGCAAGTAACACCTGATATGCTTCAGAGGTGGCATTGACAAAAATCACCATCAGTCAGTTGCAAAAGGCAGCTTTACAGTTTATATCTTGCAATAATATCTTTAACACAATCAGATACCATCATATCCAAGGTCCCTGGGAAGGACTGCATAGGTGAATAAAAATGCCAAGTCCAGTCTAAACTGACTATACGACTAACCATAATAATAATGTAAAACTATCAGAAATGCAGCAATAATAGCAATAGCAATAACAGCCTTACACTGCTCCATAGCACTTTACAGTACTCTCTAAGTGGTTTACAGAATCTGCCTATTGCCCTCAACCATCTGGATCCTCATTTTACTGACTTAGGAATGATAGAAGACTGAGTCAACCTTGAGCCAGTTAGAATCAAACTGGCTGAGGGCTGAGTTAGCTTGTAGTACTGCATTTAAATCATTGCACCACCATATTTGGAAATATGCAATGCTAAAACAAACAATTAAGAGAGGATGGGATATTCTGAGATATTTTAATTAAAAGCTAGGGTTGAAAGTTTAGAAAGAAAGATTGCCAGTGATACTAGCTACAGATAGATGGATATGTAAAGCCAAAATACAAAATACAGTTTTTGCTCCATAGGTTTGTTTTATCAACTTACCCATCTGCTTCTATATTTTAGACTCCAGTTACATCCCCTATCCCTATTGTATGATGCAGAATACAAATATACCCAGACATAGGCACATATGTACACACATACACGCACAAGGTGTGACACTGAAGGGAAAATAAAGTGCTAATGACACCATCTCTGCACACTTTCTAAGAAAGCAGGGTCAAGATGAGCTGCCCCTTCTGGAGTCACTTTAAGGGTCCGGAGCATTTTCACAGTCTTTGCACTCTCTGTGGGTGTGAGACACTCCAAATGAAGTGCAGCTCCACCAAGCACGTCCTGCTCTTTCTGCATTAAATGGCAGAATTGGTTTTCATAGCAGAGGAGAACACATCCTGCAACCTTTTAAAGGATTGGCACAGCAAGTACACTTCCCCCATGCGTTAGAGAGCTCCAGGAGGTATTGCATCTGCCCGAGGCACAATGCCTCTTAAAGCTCTTGACTGTGCAGCAGAGCTCTTTGCATCCCGGCACAGCCCTCTGAGTGTATACCCTGCAATTTAGCTCTAAGGTGGAAGGGAGGGGGTCAGCTGCTATATTATCATGCATATCTGCTGTTTTCTCCGGGGAAGGCTTTGTATTCAGAAAGATTATTATGGGGCAAAAACTGTAAATCTCAGTGGTGATTAAAATGCCGAAAGAAAGACACTGTTCTATCGCTACAGTTTTTAAGACCCTTTGCAAATGATCCATTTATAGTGTAACAAATGTACAGTTGTTGCTAATTAGCTGTGGGGCTATCCTGATATTGTCTGTCAGTGAAAGGCGTCTGGGTGAAATCACCAACTGCAAACAGCAGTATCTCATGGCTGGGAAAAATACAGCTCTTCCCTCACCAGCAGGCCATCGTCATGAAGAAGGCTGTTTGGAATGGTTTGGAATCACTGGAGGAATTCAATCCTTGGCAAGGCCTCCTTAGAGAATCCTCAACTGTACCTTTGCTAGATTTTGTCCTTCCTGATATCATTTCTTGGCTCAACAGCACTTTAAGATATTAACACACGGAATTCATACTTGGAAAAAAATAACTTTAGACATAGTTATGCTGAAAGAAAATAAATGTAAAATATGTGTTAGAATGCAATATTTTGGGTGAAAATTGTTTGTCTCTGTCTCTTTTTAAATTGCAGATCAGTGAGGGAAGAGTGTGTAATTATGAGTAATACCCAGCAAGATTGATACAGATTAGAAATAGGCTGGTTAATCTATCTCTAGACACTGTTACCACTAGAAAGTGCCCATGGTATAATTTATGACAATCAACATGGCTTTCCACTAGTCTGACATAATGATACGGCTTAAAGATAGTAAAGGGCCTCAGAGGCAGAAATCCTGTTCCATGAAGCCTTTTCTTTTTTCATTTCCATGTCCTAAAAACCAAAGATATGGATACAACTACAGCTTTGTTCTACATCATGCAATTCTTACTGAGGGTTGGAAGAAAAAAGAACAGCAGAAACTAGGTAGGAGAAAAAGGGAAAAGAGTTCCCTAAAATGCTTATGGGGATTCCTAGAAGATAGGGTCACTTAAATGAGATAAATTTGCTTTCAAAGGCCATATAATTGAAATAAAGTATTGATGAATCTCCTTCTATTTTACTTCCCAGAAGTACTACTTTTAGCTGTTTATGATGCTGCTAATGTTTCTCATACAAAGATGTTGCTTGAGATCAGGTAGAGTTCATAATTATAACCAATACTATATCCTTCAGTTCAGAAACATCCATTCATGGACCAAAAATAGTATTCTGAATCCATCCGTTATTGCTAATGTCAATAGCTCTTCCAATGTTTTAAAATACAGTCTTATCTAGAGCATCATAGCTATCTTACTGTATATATTGAAGCAATAGCATGGGAGACACTTGATCTAAATGTCCAAACATCAGAAGCATCCACAGACATATCCAAAGTAGGGTTTGATTGCAGCGCAGTTATGGCATTGGTGAACAAACTCTTATGCTTCATATATATAGTATATGATGCACAGATGCATGTATAAATGGGATGAGGTTTGACTACATCAATACCATGGATGCTGCTGAATATTATTATAATTCATTAGCCACAACACAGAAAACGTGGACTGTAGCAGAAACAAAGAAAACACACTTGTTTCACTTTTTGTCCATTAAAAGACAATATGGCATAGTGGTTATGGTATTGGTATATAGATAGTCATTCAATCATAAGGTTCACTATGTTACTATAGAGAATCACAGAATCACAGAGATGAACTTGGAGAAGAAATGCAACAGGTAGAAAATTATATGAATTATATCTGGAAAAGACAACCCCTCCCCAAACTTCCACCATACCTTTTTTAGTGTAAAAGAAGGGAAAAGAAAACACTTCCAGGTTTTAAAGCTTCAGTTGTTATAGTTTATATCAGCAGGGCTTTTTTTCTTATAGAACGCCCAGAACGGAGTTCCGGCACCTTTTTGGGATGGAACCTTGTAGGGTAGGCAAAGCTGATTGTATGAAGTGTGTGAGTTCTGGCACTTTTTTTTTTTTTTTTTTACAAAAAAAGCACTGTATATCAGTGAAGTAAAGTTCAACATTTCTTGTCTCCTGACCTGCCTACCTTAAGGTATATGACTTTGGGCCAATCAATTGTTCAGATAACATTAGTAAATTTTTATCACCTTTACTAATTTTTATCACCTTCTCTAAGAGGGGAAAGGATATGCCTGCAATAAGTGAATGAATATACACCCAAGATTGTTTTAACCCAGAGGAAATCATGCAGAACCAATTAATAATATAAGATTCAGCTGCAAACATTAACATTTGCAACATTTGTGAGTTCAGGAAAAAAAGTATTTAAACTTGAGATGTCTCTTATTATCATTTCTTGAGGATATGATAAAAACCTTGATATCAACTAGTACTAGATTAATTGTAGAATTGCACTTAGGCTCATATGCCTCCCCATAGTGCTTTACAGCATTATCTGGGTGCTTTAATTAGCTCATGCTAAACAAAGGATTTCAGAGTTAACATAGTTATATCATGTGTGAACTGCCAAATTTTGACAGGCAGATTCTATCCTGTTCTTGGCCTGCTTTCAACCTATTGGTTGTAAATAAAAAATTAGACTCTAGTCTAGTGGAAGAAGCATCATCAGTACCTTCTATCCTTAAAAAAGGTTAAAATTTACTACATATTTATCAGTGGTATCTATAGGATATAGTCAAAAACAACATGAATAAAACTATGACAGTGAAATCAAAGCTTCACCTGTTTTATGAGCAGAACTTTGAGCTGCCATCTTGAATTTTTTGTTTGAGAAAAGCAGAATATAAATGTGAAAAACAAACATATATTCTGCTTTTCTCAGAGTGTTGAAAGGGATATAGATAAAGAATTTCCCCATGCTAGATGGAATGGGGAACCCGCTCTTAGGAACATCCAATACCATTTTCTAGGAAAAGGAAGAGAAATATATCTTATTGTGGGTGGGACTTGTTGCAATGGATGGGGCTTGCTGAAATGCCTGGGTATTCCTCTATGGCAGAGGTGTCAAACTGCCAGCCCGTGGGCCGGATGCATCACGAGGAAACTGCGCCCACCTCATTGCCGGCAATGGGGAAAAAGTTCACCCAATATCACGTGACGTTGTGAGTTTAACATGTCTGCTCTATGGGAATTTCAAATATGGAATTTGTATGAAAGCTAATCTTTCTACTTTGTGCATGTGGCTGCTTTAAGAATTGTTT